AACAGTCATTTTGGAGGGTACACAAAATAGCTATAACACTCCCCTCATTTGCCAATTTATTCCATTATTATCCTTATGCTAACAGCAATACAGAAAATGAAAATACCATACTTACTTCCTGCTGAGGAACAAACATGATTATAGTATTGAGTGGAGTAGATGCCTTGCCTCTAACTGGGATCAATGGCCCACATATTAAGTGTCTGTGATCCAAAGGTCCAATGACAGAACCTCCATTCTGCCAAAGAGGTAAAATACAGTGTAATTACCTTACAGCTTCTCAGTTAGAAGGGTCTGACATTCCTCCAGCTGAGTTGGGCTACAAAGATTCAGACCCTTTACACAATCGAGATGCCTATACCCTAATAAATTATCATCAGAACATTCCCTGATCACAAAATAAATGCTCTTTCTTGTTATGGAAACATTCTTGGCACCTCCATTAAAGATTTCATGCAATGTTCTTTTTCATAGAGCAAACATGAAGCTTGACACCCCAGTTTCAAATGTCACATGTCTGCAGATTTTCTCTGGGGAATATTCAAGTCTAGCACTAATCTCATCATATTTCCCTTCAGTGAGCACCCATTTCCATGTTTCCTTTCCTCTTGGTTCAGCAACAATGAAACTGGTGCTGAGGCCGGAACAGTCTCCTGATAACAGGAAGCATTACCAGCATCTGATGTAATCTGGGTAAGTTTTATTCGTAATCTGTTTGGCTACTGCCTTGTTGATAATGCTGATCACTCACCTCCAGCTAGTGCTGAGGTCAAGAAAATGTGAATCTAGACATCCACTCTCACATACGCCTTCATGGCATAATGTTTCGTTCACTAAGTGCACAGACTTTTCCTTTTTACACACTATAGGCATATGACTCAAGTAATACAAAATTTGGTACCATTACTGCAACCTGCATGATGTGTACTGTCAATGTCAGAAAATCATACTGAACCAACACGATTCGTATGTCAAAATCAGCTTTCTATTTACTACTGTAATTTTTTTAACATCAGTCTTTAAATGTTATGAATTAACTTTCTTATAGCATTCCAATGAAGACAATTACACTGACAGTTAAACTCACATTAAAAATTTAACCTCAAACACCTATAAATTATGGCATAATCAAATTTCTGAAAAACTTGCTATGAAGAGTTCTGTCTTCTGGGCTACAGGCAGAACGGCGTTATATCCCAGAAGACAGAACGCTTCAAAACCACCGCTGTGAAAACCTACGCAGTTACTCCGATTGCAATTTATAGAATATGGTCGTAAACATTAAATCCCTTCAAATACATGTTAAAATAAATTAAATAAATTATATCAGCACCTTCAGATGTGGCAATTTTAACAAACATAACCTGAAACGTGATAGCATTGTTCACAAATGGCATTCGCACAATCAACTCACAACGTGCTCGCAAAGCTCGCAACACTACACAGCGTCTCGATGAGTCGATGAGGTTAAGTTACCTCCAGACTAAAATTCACTGAAGACATGGTGTACAGGTTGTGTAAAATTTGTAAGTGATATAATTAAAAACATTTCGGTTGATGCTGGATACCGTACTTTGAAGTTCTAACTAGTATTAATGTTGGATTTGTATCATTTACGGTTTATACCGTTTGCGTTGAGGTTAGGTAGTTTCCAGTTATATTTTTATGTGGGGCTGTAATCTGCAGTAAAGGATATAAATATGTGCATCACAATAATGATGTTATTATGTACCTTAATATTCCAAGAAATTCAATCATTCATGCACTATTTCGTTAAGTGTGAGCATGTCGGTCATAGCAACCTCAGGCCATTGTGCAAGGGGTGGAGCCTGGTGCTACATCACACTCTACTTGATACAGAGCTGTTTCTCATGCCCTTACATGTTACATGAACATGTAACCCAGAATCACCCTACAGCCCTTGGAGAAAAGACTGCTACTAGCTGATCAGGAAAGTAGTGTCAGCATTCAAATAAATAATACAAATAATTTTTCACTTTCAGTGTTCTATTTTGATTGTTGGTATGAATTACGTTTGATTTTTAAGTTTGATACAGCAATTTTAGCATGAGTCATCTCTGTCATTACACTGGAATTAATCTTAGAATGACAAAGAATCCAGTGTAAACAAATTTATTATAAGTAATCAAATTAGTTGTGTGGCCTTATATGTTTTGGCCCTTCATAGATGTCTTTGGAGGCTAAACAATAAAAGGAACTTGCTTTCCAGTTGCCATAGATCTTAGTGTAATTGTAAATTAAATTGTCAAACTGTTAAATTATCCCTTTGAAGACTGTGCTTCATCTACAAATATTTGACAGGACTGGAAATAGTGTACTACATAATGTTATATACAAAACTCCCAACAGTGTTTTTTGAAGTTTTAAGCTTACATTCAGCCAGCTTATAAAAATAATTTCAGCAAAACACAAAATGAGCTAATTCGTAATGTTTACGTGAAGACATGGTGTTGACTGAGTAATAATAAACATTGTCTTTCACACATTATGATGCTACCGCATAATATTTCTGAGCTAATTCATATTTCAGCAATATAATAATGCATAATATTGAATTACAACAAAATTTGTGAAATAGTTTATTGTATGCATGGCAGTCTATAGCCTTACATAAAGTAGGGTCAGTAATTAGTCAACATATAAAAAATCAAGATGGTCACCTAATATTACTAGTAATCACAGATCTGTTATCTTGTAATTCACCAAAATTTGAATAACAGTATGATATACATCACTCATTCACTCATGTAGCTGAGCCCTTCTTGAGAAGTCACCAATTGTGTAGCTACTTAAGAGCTTCCCAACATTTTATGGAGCCTGAAGGTTCATTACCGTGTTCACAAGAGCCTTCCACTGGTCCCTGTGCTGACCCAGATTGATTCATTCTCGTTGGAGAACTTATCAGACAACTGCTTACCTATACGGACTTTACCATGCATTTCATTTAAACATATTTTAATCAGCCTAACTAGTTTCATGCGTACCCCATACTCTTATCAGAATATTGTGCAATACTTCCCTCTTAACTGAATCACAGGCTTTCTTGAAATTATGAATAGCTGATGTAGTGTCTCATTGTACTCCCGTTTTTTCTCCAGTATCTGATCAGTAGTTGATCTGTTATGTTGACACCCACACTATCTCATTGTACTCCCATTTTTTCTCCAGTATCTGATCAGTAGTTCATCTGTTATGTTGACACCCACACTATCTCATTGTACTCCCATTTTTTCTCCAGTATCTGATGAATGCAAAAGATCTGATCAGTAGTTGATCTGTTATGTCAAAACCCACACTGATGATCCCAATAATTTCAACTGTGTATGGACTTAACCTTGAGAGAAGAATATTGGATAAAATTTTGCATGAAGTTGATAGTGATATCCCACAGTAATTACTGCAGTCAGTTTTATTACCCTTCTTATTAACTGGTACAATAAAAGACTCCTTCCATTGGTCAGGCAATTTTTCCTTATGCCAAATCGATCTTGGAACATAATATTTCGCCTCCTGCTTGAAGAAGTTCTGCCGGAATTTGATCACTACCTGGCGATTTACACAGTTTAAATTTTGCAATAGCACTTTCAAACTCAAAAGGGCTAGGATCAGGTATTAACGTCTCAGCAGTATGTATTTCTGTCTGCCTAGCATCACTGACCCTGTGTACATTCAATAACTGAGAGAAGTAGTTCCTCCACCTATTCAAAATGTTGTGGGAATCTGTAAGCAGATCACCATTCTCATCCTTCACTAAGTTACTGCTAGGCTGGCAACCCCTCTTAAAGTCATTTATTCCTCTGTACATGTCTCTAATGTTCTTGTTCTTACTGTTTATTGCAAGCTCATTGATTTTGTCTTTCAGATATTCCCTCTTTTTGTTCCTGAAATTCCTGCTGGTTTTATGTCTTATATTGTTCAGAATATCCCCATTTAACTCGCTTGGATCCTGTAACCATTGCAATTTGGCTTGCTTTCTTTGATCAAATAATTTTGAGCATCCTTCATCAAACCAAGTCTTATGCTTCTTCTTCTTTGGCAGAAATTTTGGCATTCTCTCTAATAGTTTCCCAAGCTTTATTAATGTACACCTCAGTGTCCAAGTTTTCCAAAGCTCCCAACCTAGTTGAGATTTCAACACGATACTGCTCTTTACCTTCTACATCATTTAATTTCTTGAGATTGATCATCTCCTATGAACTCTGTGTGTTGTTTGTTTGCTTACTGCCAGTCTTTCCCTAACCTTTTCCACCACCAGGTAGTGGTCAGTATCACCATCTGCTGCTCTGAATGATTGGGCATTAAGTATACCTGAATTCCATCTCTTATCTTTCAATATATGGTCGATTTGATTGTGTATCTTCCCATCAGGAGATGTCCAAGTAAATTTTTGGATGAGACAATGTGTGAACATTATACTTTTGACAGTAAGATTTTAGATGTGGCAAAGGTTACTACTCTAACTCCATTATTATTACTAATTTCATGCAAACTCTCATTCCCAGTTGTTGGTTTTAAAATGTTTCCCTACCTACTTTGGCTTTGAAATCTAACAAAATTTTCATATGGTACTTCGGGAATTTTTCAAATACATGTTCTAGTTCTTCGTAGAACCTGTCCTTTATATCTTCAATTTTATCTTCTGTTGGGGTGTGAACATTCAGAATGATGATATCACACCAGCGACCTCTTAGTATCATGTATGACATCCTATCACTAACAAACTCTACCCTCTTTAACTGCTGATATGATTCTCATATGTACGAAGAAACCTGTACTTAACTCAAGATTTTCATTCCCCTTTCCATAGAAAAATATATATTCATCTGCTGGTTCGGTGCCACCTCTGTCCCATCTGACCTGTACTCCCACTAAATCTGACTTATATTTTGACATATGTTCCGCCACTGCCCTGAGTGAACCTGCCCTATACATACTTATAACATTCCAAGTACCAAATCTCATATCCATTTTCTTTCACTTATGTCGTTTATCCACAGAATCTGCCCAGGTCCGATGCATTTTGAACATTTTTGTAATGAGCTTATTTTTTACGGTGACAAGTTGTTAGACCAACCCCCAAGCTGGAGTACCACCCCTTGTCAGTTGGCCACGACTGCTTATGCAATATATCTGCAGCTTCCCTCCATACCTGGAGGGCATCTCCTCCATCCGCAACCTGAGAATGCACCATGCCATGGTGACAAGTGACCCACTGAATATTGCTGATATAAATAACGAAGTTAATTCATAACCTTATATAAAATGGGCTCTGTAATTGGTCAGAATGGCTCTGAAAATCAAAATGACCATCCTAGTGTTATTCAGAGGTATCTCATTGAATTTAACCACAATGTGAGTAACTGTTTATGATATTCATCACAAATTTCATTTATGACTGGCTGCATATAAGCTTAATAAACTATAAAGAATGCCATGGACAATTTTGTGTATTACATCATGGAGTGCTTTCTTTTCAGACTTTTTAAAAGTTCAGAAGCATATTGCTTGCATTAAAAGAAATGTGACCCTCAATGTCTCACAACACTATGGGCCTTCACGGCCTGTTACAGGGATAGCTTTACTTTCACTTTTTTTTCTTTATGTGGCAGACTGAATAAATTTACAGACTAAATGTCAGCATAACAGACAGTCGAGTCTAATGTTCTTACAGGTCTAGTAGAAAGTTAGCTTCAAAATCCTGCTTTTCCCATAAGGTAAATTAATATTTGCTACATAAATTCCAGCATTCCACAATCTTACTTACTTACTTACTTACTTACTCATGGAGCTCAGCCCTTCTGGAGGAGCTGCCAATTCTGCAGCTACTCAAGAACTTCCCAGCATTTTATGGAACCCAAAGGTTCATCACCATGTTCACAAGAGCCCTCCACTAATCCCTATCCTGAGCCAGATCTATCCAATCCATACCATCCCATCCTGTCTCTAAGATCCATTCTAATATTGTCCACCCACCTATGCCTTGGTCTTCCCTGTGGTCTCTTTCCTTCTGGCTTTTCCACCAATATCCTATACGCATTCCTCATCTCCCCCATTTGTGCTACATAACCTGGCCACCTCATCCTCCTTGACTTGATCATTTTAATTATATTTGGAGAAGAGTACAAGTTATGAAGCTCCTCATTATGCAGTTTTCTCCAACCTCCTGTCACTTCATCCCTCTTCGGT